ACCCCTGTCTTCCAGCTGCTGAGTTACTCATGGCCCTGGAAGCCAGCCTCCCGCCCCCTCAGCCAGGCGGCCCCCCTCCCCACGGCTGTGGTGACCCCCCACTCTCCCCAGGGGCTGGGTCCTGTGGTGAGTGGAAGGAATTTGGGTGAACTCTGCTCGCTCAGCAGTCTGGGCCTGGGGAGCCGGGCGGGGGCACTGACAGTGGAAAATCACAAGTGGTTTCCAAGTTGTCAGAAACCAAGGAAATTGTTCTGCCGGTTGTGCACATGGCAAGCCATCATCCGGAGACCCCAGGGCCCCTGGCTCAGGAACCACCTCCTGTGGGGCCCAACAGCCAGACTGGAGACAGGGGTTGCTTCTAGCCCTCCCACCAAAGGGAGGGGCAGAGGGCAGGGCAGGCCTGGGTCCTTCTCCGGAGTCCTGGAGAGGGGCTGGGGCTTGACCCTGGAGCCTGCTCTCCAGAGCCCCGGGTCCTGGGTCTCCACCCCCAATAGTCATGCTGGGGAGCTGGGCCACGGAGGAAGGCACTTTGCAGGACCCACTTGGCCGTCTCGGTATCGTGGCTTCCCTCCCGTTGGGGCCTGGCCTCCAGTGATTGAGCTGCTGCCTCCAAGGCCCGAGCACCCAGGACAGTCTCCTCCAGGCCTCCCAGACCCTGTTCCTCTCAGTCCCTCATCCTGCGGCTGCCCTGCTAGCTGGTGAGGTCCCACCTCTGCCCAGGCTGAGGCACCAGCAGGAGGGGCTGGTGCCCGGTGGCCCGATGGCCCGAGTCTAGGGAGCCTGAATGCAGAGAGCGTTCGGTCTGGCCTCAGAGGCCTCTCCTAACCCCTTCCATCACTGAGGGGCTGTGACCGGGACACGTCACTTCTCGCTGGGCCTTGGTGTCCTCACTGAGCCTTGGGGAGGACGGTGCCCGCCCTCAGGAGCATCAATCGCTGCCCATGTGCTGCCCACGTGCCGGGGCCTGCACTGGAGACTGATGTGGGGAATCAGCCTGGGGCAGAGACCCCAAGGCAGGACTCCATTCCTGGGCCAGTGCCCCCCGTACCCTCTGTCCCAGGCCCCTCGCTGACTCCTGTGCCCTCCGCTGACCCTCCAGGGGGAGGCTGCATCTCTGGGCACCTTGCTGACTGCTCCGTAGAGACCGGCCCCATGACAAGCGAGCCACCAGGGACACGTGCTCCCACGTGCAAACGGCCTGGGACCCAGGTGAGGAGCTGGTGCCATTGGAGAGGGTGTGGGCGGGGGTGGGGGGCGGGGGTGGGGGGGGTGCTGATTTTTCTCACTTTCCAGCCACAATGGCATGAAATGGATGGCAGCTCCTGGCAGGATGGCCTGGGACTCTGGAAGCTAAGGTATGGCATCCGGCTTGCAGAGATTTCTGGGAAACCTCTCACATGGGGGCAGGGATGAATTCCCTGCAGGGGTCAGTGGAGGATCTTCATGGAGAGGCCCCTGGGCTCAGGACCTGTCCTCCAGCCCCTGCATTCCCTGGATGCGGGGAGATGGAGGCTCCAGGAGCAGGCCCAGCCCCTCCCAGCTTCCTGGAGCTCACAGCTGGGATGGGACTGGCCCTCAGGCCTCCAGGTCCCAGCTGGGCCTGCTCGACGAGGACCGTGCAGGTGGGGCAGAGGGTCCACCAGGGTCACAGCCGGAGCCCCTGGCCCCTCACAGGTGAGGGAGGAGCTGCTCAGGACGGGCTTCTGAGACGGGGAGGAAGCAGGAAGCCTGTGGTGGGGATGGGGAGCTGCCCCGTCTGCAGTGTGAGCACGTCAGGCTGTCTCAGCAGCCCCCTCCCTGTCCGTGGGCCTGGCCCCGCGTAGCGGGAAGAGGGTGGGTTCCATTCCTGCTCACTCCAGTGCGGGAGCTTCAGGCTCTGCTGGGGCGGGGGGAGGGGCATGAGGTAGAGCAGCTCTGGTGCCCGTGTGCCAGCTTTGCCTACATGCCCCCTGTGCCCCTCTCTGCAGCCTGCGGGGCCTCTGACTGCACAGCCCTCTGAGATGACTCTGTCCCCACCCCTGGGTCGGGGAACCCCACCCTGGCTCCCCCAATAACTCTCCTTCCCCCTCTGGGAGCAGCGAGGGTCGATCTGCCTGAGTAGCCTGTCACCTTCCCTCCCTAACAAGCCAGTTCTACTTCGGTCCCTCAGGCAGACCCTCCCTAGGAGGGAGGAAGCTGGAGGGGGGGTTTCTAGGGTGTCCAGCAGACCCCCAGACTGGCCCACAGAGTCCTTAGACAAGGACACAGATGCCCTGCCTAGGGGTGGGCACTGGACCCTGGAAGGGTGAGCAGCAGCCACAGTGGGCAGGAGCCTCCCACCCCCACCTGCCTCTCCCCCGGGGAGTTGTTTCGATGCTGCCTCCTCAGCACACGGGGTCTCCTGACGCCCTGGCTGCCTCCCTGCACCCAGACACAGCCTGGGTCCGAGGGGCTCCGTGGTGTGGTCTTAAAGCTAAGTGGGGTCTCATCCCCACCCACCTATCTGGCATGGAGAGCAGTCACCCCTCTTCTCCACCTGCCCAGACCCTCAGGGTGAAGGACCCCCCCCCACTCCCTGGCCCCCACCAGGATCCAGGGCACCCAGGAGGCCTTTGCTCATGTTCCTGTTGGTGAGTCACTGTGGCTGAGAAAAGGGCTCTTTCTATTCCTTCCTAATGCTTTCATGGCTTCTATTTTCCCTGGCAGAGCTTGCGGGCCCAAATCTGATCCATGTGGGAGCCAGCTGAGCCGGCCTGGAGGAGTGACGCTCCCCAGCCTCGGCCTCCCTGCCTCCCACTCCGCAGGGGCCAGAGAGCAGATTCCATGAGAGCCAGAGCAGTGTGATTCAAGGCTCGCAGAGGACATGTATGGTCAGAGCTGGCTTCATCTGCCTGCTGCCAGGCCAGCCTGGGGACACACGGCAGAGCGGGCACAGCCAGGAGCAAGGCCTGATGGGGGCTGTGAGCCCAGCACACTTGTCTCCCAGGGGAGATGGTCCTGAAGTTGTACGAGGCATAGCTAAGAGGACCTGTCCAACCTGCACTCGAGGACACAGGTGAGGAGCAGAAGGTGACACGGCCATCAGAGGCCCAGCTCTGACGCAGTCCCACTGCCTTGTTAAGTCAGTACAAGGCTGCCCGGCCGGCGTGGCTCAGTGGTTGAGCATCAATCTATGAACCAGGAGGTCAGGGTTTGATTCCCCATCAGGGCACATGTCCAGGTTTTGGACTCGATCCCCAATAGGGGGCATGCAGAAGGCAGCCGATCCATGATTCTCTCTCATCATTGATGTTTCTATCTCTCCCTCTCCCTTCCTCTCTGAAATCAATAAAAATATATATTTTTAAAAACGCAAGTACCTGGCTGAGCCAGTGGGAAGCGAAGGAAGGGCCTGGCAAGGAGGAGGTGAGAGAAGGCAAAGCCCTCCTGGTCCTGCTTCAAGTCCCAGGCGGGGCCAGCAGCCCTTCCCACAGCTGCTGCTGGCTCCAGCTGCCCAGGGCCCTGTGGGGCCCAGGTACGGCCGGGCCTGTGTTCTGGGTTCTAGTAAGAGGAGAGGAAGGAGAGAATGGCTGTCTGGCACGTCACCTGGCAGAGAGCAGTGGGTCCGGAGAGGTGAGGCTATGTCCACTGTGGGAAATAGTGAGAGAAATGGGGTGGGGGAGCCTATGTCCCATTGGGTGGCACATAACGGGCACATCCCAGGGAGCCTCCCGGGGTAAAGGCACACTCTCCCCAGCAGGTCGCCTCCTCTGGGCACAGTCTGCCTCTGCCCTTGAGGCCCCATGTCTTCCACGGGGAGCGGGGCTCACAGGTGTGGCCCCTAACACCCGCCCTTGATCTGACCTGGCGTCACCGGAGGCTGTGCCATCCGCTCAAGAGAGGCCGCAGCCTGCCACCTCCTGGCCAGGTTCTCCCCTGGGGTCCAGGCACCCTCCTCAGGCTGCTGGGAGTGCAGGGGTGGGCAGGAACCCTTCGCACCTGTATGGAGATCGCTGTGTGAGTGTCACGTTTTTACACACACACACACACACACACACACACACACACACACACCCGGACAGTATTCCTGTGATTTATACAGACAACCTCATAAAAAGGCTCTTCCCCAACCTGCTCCATCTCTGCCCTTCTCAAGCGTGACCGGCTGGGCCAGGACCTGAGACCGAAGGGGACCCTCGCCTGGGGCTCCCACCCCAGCAGAGCCGCTGGCCTGCGTTCAGGAGAGCAGGGCCGCCCCGGGAGGCGCAGGGCCGGCTGTCATGGACCTGGGAGATCAGCTGATGTCTGAACACAGAGCTGCCAGCCCCAGGCTCCAGAGTTGGAAACACGGGTTGGCCAGGCGCCCACAGGACCCTCCCGCAGCTGAGATGGGAGGATCCCGGAGGCCAGAGTTCGCGCTTGGCTCTGCTACCCGCGTTGCCGGTTCCCTCCAGTGGACGCGGTGGTACCTGGCGTCCTGATCCCGCGGGCGGAGCGGGACAGGGACGTCAGCTCCCTGGTCCCGCACCCGCCGGACCTCCCATCCTCTCCAACCGCCCTTCCCGCAGGCCCTGCGGCCGAGGTGCAGGCCTCCAGCCCGGGACACCGCCCCCATCCCGCTCCGGGAAGCGCCAAGTGCGCTGCACCCGGACCGCTAGCGCCCCCGCCCCCCCGCCCGCCCCGCAGCCCCTCCATCCAGGCCCGGCTCCTCCTCCTACCCCAGGGGTTGGGGAGCCGGTTCCGGAAGCCCCGACGCCCCCGCCCAGGCCGCCGCCGGAGCTTTGGAGAGGGCAGTCCGCGCCAGAGCGCGCCACGCGGGCCGAGCTTTCCGCCGGACCAGCGCCTCGGAGTCCCCCGCCTCGTCCGCGTCCCCACCGGTCCACGGGCCACTGCCGGCCGGAGCCCCCGCGCCGCACCCCGGATTCCTCGCGCACCTCACCCCGGATTCCTCCTGCGCCCCACCCCGGAGACCCCGCGCCCCACCCCGGATTCGTCCCGCGCTCCACCCGGGAGCCCCCACGCCCCCTCCCCATCCACGCCCACCCGGCCCCCGCCCCCGGTCCCCCCGGCGTGCGCGCCATGGCGGCGGTGCGCGGGGCGCCCCTGCTGGCGCTGCTGGCGCTGCTGGCGC